GGTTTTTTTCAGTAAGACAGTAATATCGTGCTTTACCTGGAAACCTAAAGCTGCACTAGGTGTACATCACATATTAGCACAAAAACTTTTTGAGCACTCAATTGAAAATGTACACATAATGTACCAATCGTACTTACAGGTTGTGCTTCAGAGAGCTTTTTAGTCCATATTAAGAAGATAGAAGAAGCCAACGAAGATAAAAGCCAAGATTAGAGAAGCAGTCCTTGGTAAAATGACATGCACACAACAAAAGGTTCGAATTGTATATCTGTGGTATCCTTCAACACAGCTTCTTCTCGACATGATGTAAACACACTAACTAGCGGAAGTGTTTGTGGGCAGGTCAGACTCGCGGGCAGGCGGGGATTATGCAAATGTATTACCCAGTGGCGTATACCGGTAACAGGCAAAAGATTCGAAAATATGACGACTCGTTAAGACGATTCAGAATTGACTCCCTCTTTTGAGAGACAATATCTTTATTTATCATGCACTTTTTTGATTAACAACTTTGCAGATTGTTTTCATTTAAGGATAGCTACCTTATAAACTGCAAAAGATATATTTTTCAAAAACCCATATGACCTGCTCTTTAAAATCCAGCAGGTTAAATTTCAGATAGAATAGCAGGAAAAGAAGGTGTACATGTCTTAGTTAAATGAGAATATGTATATTTATATTTATATTTATATTTATATATTCATGTATATAAAATATTGAAGAATTTAATCTCTGGACTTTGGAACAAAAATGCAAAGAGAATATGCACATCAAAAACTGAATGAATCTAACACTGACCAGTAAACATTAAGATTTTGCTAATACTTCTATAATGTGGCCTGTGATAAAAAAAAAAGAAGAAGAAAAAAAAAAAAAGCCAGTTTGACACGTTTGTTCTGTTCAAGTTGCTTCGTCATCTTCCTAGCAAGCTGAAGAGAACATTTATTTTCCCCAGCCATTCAGGCATTGACATTTTTGTGACTGGTAATACCAAAAACAACTGAGCTAAAAGAAAAGAAATCTGATAACATCACCAGCATCAGTATAAGCATAAATGATGCTTTCTGACTGTAATATTATATCCAGTGTCCCAAAGTCCCCCTGCTAGAAGCACCGCCTTCTTTAGTTGTTAAGTTTGTGTAATAATTTTCCATGTATTTGCAGGAACGCGGGGTGACATGAAAAGGACCATGTCCCCCTTAGTGGTTCTATTTATTATAATAGGTAAATATCTATTCAAGTTTTTAATGTTTGTACACTCTAAAAAATGCTGGGTTGTTTCAACCCAACTTTGGGTCAAAGATGGACTAACCCACCTGTTGGGTTAAATTTTTTAATAAAATTTTTAATTAGTCCATATTTGACCCAAAGTTGGGTTGAAACAGCCCAGCATTTTTTAGAGTGTACAACATACAGTAGCAAAATGTTTATATTTAGAAACACTGCAAAAAGTGTCAAACTAATGGTAATTATATCTATTCCATCAGGATTGTTGGGGCCAACATGTGAAAATCTAAATAATTTGACGGATTCAGGTAAAAACAAATGATCTGTCATTGTCTACAGTGGTAGACTAGTAACACCAGTAAATGAAAAAAAAAATTAAAAGAAATATAACAGAATCACATATTGTCACATACCCTATTTTTATAGCTAATATAATGTTTATTATTACCTCTTTCACATCATCAGCAGTTTCACATCATATGCCCTCACCAGACCAAAGAGTTAACGACAGGACCCAATTGAATGTAAGGTCATAGCACATTTACAATTTTTCACTATCAATTTAATAAATTTTAAATGGCATTTTTCTTTATTTCTATAGGACAGAGCACTGGAATACTGGCCTGTGGCCAACCGTACAGAAATTAAAATTTTTAGGTAAGTCAGAAAACACCTCATTCTGCTCTTACTATTTTTGACCTGAGATCTCACAAAGTCAGATTTAAAGCACATAAAAGCACAAAATTAGAGTTCTGTTTAACTTAAATGTGAGCGAAATGTATTACTATATAGTAGAATGTATTTCTCAAAGTAATAATAATAATAATAATAATAATAATAATAAAATTATTAAAACTTTATTTTTAAAGGAATAATCACACTATTTTTCTCATTAATTGCAATAGTAAACCTCAGTTGTACAGCACTTTGTTTGCCAACAAATAAAAGGAATTGTTAAATTTTCATTTGATTACATTTTAAAAGATTGAATTGTTAATGTTTTATGTCTTCATTTGATTACCACCGTTTTTGGTAATAAAGTTGTATTAAATTATAAATACAGAAACATTAAAGCAAACAACAAAGAATTAAAAAAAAAAAAAGATTGCATGTGACCATATTATTGTACAAATTGTAATAAAATATTAAGTTGTTAAATTTTTATGAATTCAATTTATTAGACATGCTTTTAGATTATTCAAATTTATTTCAACCATTAAAATGGAATGCAGAAAAATTAAGACGGAAAACAATTAATATGAAAACAATAAAACTGAATTTGAGAAAAAAATAAAACTTATTTATTAAACTTATTTGTTAAACTTATTAAATTGTGCCTAAATTGTTTAAGTTTTATGATTTTAATTATTTGCTATTTGAATTACTAATTTAATCAATTTAACCAGAGTCAAGAAAAAATTTAACCCAGAATTTCCTATCTCCAATGGCGTCTAGGAGTACAAATTGTAGCTTAGTCTTAGTCACTGTTATAATTATGAAAAAGACATTGAAAATTTTTTCTCCCTTGCAAAAACGTTTGAGAGCTCTTATAGAGACTGATTTGAATTTTACTTTTAAGATTTTTTGCCTTGTCTAATAGACTCAATGCATTTCTTTTGAACAAAATGTGATTTTTCTTCATGCAAAATAATATATTAACAATAATTTAATCTTTCAGGAGAGGACCACTAGTTATTTCCAGAAAGTACTGGTACCCCGTTTTAGAAATAGGTAAGAAATTAATATTTAAGTAATTCTCTAAATTTCATTAAACCCTGTGTAAAGCCTGATGTCAGATATTTTCTATTTGAATATATATATATATTTATTTATTTTTACTATGAAGGTACTATGAATGTACTATGAAGGTCTGTTGATATGATTTTATCTGCATGCTTAGTAATAAATTTCTTTCTCCTTTTTTTTTTGGCAGCAATTAAAAAAGCACCTCCCATATCCCCTGCAATTACCTCAGCCGCAACATCAACAAAATCATTCAGCTCATCACCAGCAACAACAACTATGTTGCCCACTTCATCTTTCCCAGCAACTGCACAAATAACTACTTTAGGGCCTTCAACAACCAAAACAAAGTCTACAATTTCAACAGAGCCCCTAACAACCAGCATTCAAGAACATATCAGCAAACAGAAGACCACTACAAGACAAATATCAGAAACCACAACAGAGCTGCAAACTTCAGCAGTGCCAGCAACAATCAAAACTTCAAAAACAACAATCTTACCAACTACCAACTCAAGACAACAAACAACCATTACACATTCTACAACTTCAGCAATGCTACCAAAAACTACCACTTCAAACAATATAGCATTAGAAACCTCAAGGCAACTATCAGCCACCACATCAAAGCTCACTCCATTAAACACACCAGCAACTACCGCAATACAGCTAACAAGCAACATAAAACCCACAACCACTAGAAATACATTGGGATTGACATTAAAATGGACACCAGTGGAAACTGCAGCATCAGAGGGTGCTTCAACCAGTATGCAGACAACAACTGTAAAGGATGGCTCAAATGCTCCAAAAGTAACAACAACTGCCATTTCATCTGCAAATCTGCCAGCTACATCAGGTGCGGGAGTTAGTTTTGAAAGTACAACAGCTGAAAGAACATCCACAACTGCATCACTGGTTTCAGATACTACTTTATGGTCTACAGTGGCACCTGGAACAACAAATGCAGCAACAACAATTATAGTGCCCCAAACAGGTTTGACAAAATATGTTATGACTATATACTACCGTTCAAACATTTAGGAATGTTATTGATTTGTTAATGTTTTTGAAAGAAGTCTCTTATGCTCTCCAAGGCTGCATTAATATAATAATTTAATAAAAAATGAAACATTATTACAATATAAAATGACCACTTTTTTCATTTAGTGTGTTTTAATATGTAATTAATTTCTGTGATGACAAAGCTGAACTTTCAGCAGTCACTACTCCAGTATTCAGTGTCACATGATTCTTAAAGGGGTCATATCTGATGCGATTTCAAGTTCCTCTTCAGGAACTTGAGCTGCGTCGTAAAAAAACGCTAGGGGAACGCCCTCTGTGACCACGCTCTGAA